TTATTTTTAATATATTTTATTTCTTCTAAAGAACCATCAAGTCATGATCAAATTACACGCACTGCCTTGAAAACTGACAAATAGCGGGTGAATACAATTAATAAGCTATTTTGCAGACATCCATTATTTAAATGTATCCATATTTTAATATTTATTCGAGATATATCTTGTTCTAAGGCTAAACTCCCCTTTCAAATATTAGATTTTTTCGACATCATTTTTATCAAACTTTAAAATTATACATATATATTTATATTAGACAGTCCGCTGTTTGGTTGAAGAAAAAAGATCTGATTTTTTCTAATTAAAAAGAAATGAATCCCCCACACACTTCACAGAGAGAGGTCTTATCTTTCATAGGTTGAGCATTGTGCATTGACCTCTATTTGAACCTTTAATGCAGAATTGGGTCAATTAGTCAATGAAGTGGAGTATTTCTGACTATTTCATCCCGTTTTGATTTTATTAGAGATAAAGAAAACTCATTCACTGATTCTTAAATTAACTGATTCATTAACATTCATATTTAAAGATATGAATATTTCTAATTTTTTCTGATATATTTTTTTCAATGTTTTTGTGACAAAAAAGGGTATCATATTAAAGTGTTCTGTTTTTAACTGCTAAATATTTTGTCCTCTCTAAAATTCTCGGTATCAATAAAATTATCTTTTAGAAATATGTATTATTTCTTTAAGATATCCACAGAAAACCGGCGTCTGTACCCAATTAAGTTGAATATCACACCTCGATATATACATGATATACACCGATTTAAGAAAGGGTATGGCGTCTTTTAGCCGCATACAAGTTGGTGTTTCGTCACTAGAACTGCACTCAAGTTGGTAAAAATTCATATTTACAAGTATTTATAATTATTTTCCTAGTGGTAATACATTGTATTAACATCATAAAACACATTCAAATAGTTTTACATGTAAAATATTGATGGAATTATTTATTTCAATTCAATCAGTAATAGCATGCAAATTATAAAACGTTATATCTTTATTACCTTTAAACAGATCAATGACCTCCTTGTTGATGTTGTACTTAAATGCCGTAAATGCAGAATTGGGTCACTACACATTTTCACTAAAACACACGTTCATCCTCGTATTTCTGAATCGATACCAATATTAATCGGGTTTATTCATAATTTGTTATATTACAGATGCAGATAATTCATTGATTGATTCTCAAAAACTCTATTCGAAACACAGTTTAATAGAAAATCATTTAACACAATCAAGCTCATTTAAAGATCTCCAGATAGCTTGCGATCCTCCACTTTGTATGTGATACATATCTCCAAAACTTGATAAATACATATCCAAAGAAGAACAAATAAATTCACAAGTGGTACTAGACTCCAATGTTTACAAAAAGTAAAGTATTTAGGGCATGTTGCCATCATTAACTGAAATACTGAAGCGAGCATGCGCGATTGTATATATACAAAATGCAGCCAAAATTGACCTATCATTGTAGAAAATCCTTCCAAGTTATGGTCATTGATACAGTTAAGAAGTCATAATTGCTCAGAATGTGTCGCTGCATCTCTTCTTTTGATTAATGACGATATCTTTTAGATATATATTTCACTTCATAAAGATATTCACAGAAAATCGGCATCTGTACCCAATTAGGTTGTTTATCACACTTCGATATATATCAGCCGGACCCAAGTTGGTGTTTCGTCACTAGAGCGGCACTCAATTTTGGTAAAACGTAATATTTACAGGTATATATAATTTTGTCTCCTAAAGACAATATTAACATCATGAAGCACATCCAAATAGTTTGATATAAAATACATACACCAGTACACCCTAACATTATCTCTCTCTCTCTCTCTCTCTCTCTCTCTCTCAAACGTACACACACACACCCTCACACACACACACACATACGCACACACACACAAAACAAAATGTTAAGTATTAAGATGGGGAAATATTTCAAACAATATTATATTTTCTGAATATTGTTAATAATTTTACTTCATTTTCCTTAATTGCTCTGGTTATATTTAAATATCATTTTTGAAAAAAAAAATGATTTAAATAAGATAAATAAACCACTAAGGTGTAAAGAAATTTAAAGTTTTCTGTCGATTGAAAAAGTTCTTGTAAAAGATATTTATTATCAAAATGTAGATATTTTAATCCTTTTGGAAATATTTTTGTTTCATGTGTTAAACGTCTCCTAAAAAATAAACTCCAATGATTTTTTTAAAATGACTGTAGAAAAGAGTAATTTTCTAGGCAGGGGATAATTTTCGTCTAATAACCCGGTCAAATTTCTTTTAAAACATAGATTCCCGGTTTGATGTGATATTTTACGTAGAAAAATGATTAGAATAAAAATGACTCTATATTAATTTGTAAATTTTCCTTCGGGCGTGCATTGATTTACGGATAACTGGGTGTTTTTTTGCTGCTTGCTCAGGTCTGAGGGTTGGCTGTACGAGTGCAACCGAGGTTCAAATCTTAAAAAACAAGCTAAACTTTGGGGGAGTCAAAACATGTTGTCCTCAGTTGTTACTACTGTTAGGGTGCTTTTAACCATAGTTTAATTATATTCACAAATGATGTGTTTTATTTTCATAAATATAAAAAAATTTAAAAGTCTAACAAGCCTTTCTTTGCATATTTTATTTGATATTCATATGATGCATTCATTAATCATTTACAGCAAACTTTTAGCCCGAAAGCAACTTATTCAGATATATATGATTTTTTTTTTCATTTTCTTTGAAAAAAATTAATATAAAAAAAATTAAGAGCTGATATCGGTCTTTCAATGCTGAAATCATTTTTTAAAAGGATGACTTAAAAATCTATAAGATGAAAAGTTGGTGAGGCATTCCACCTTAATCTTATCCTGCTTTGATTTCCCTAAAGCTGAACCAAATTAAATACTAAATTAAAAGGTCACTATTAGCATTAATGTACTGCAAGTAAGTGAAGCTTTGTCCTTTTTTCGTTATTGATTTAACAAAATTAAATAGTTTGGTATTTTTCAAATAACTCTATAAAATAAATAAGACCATGAAACAAACAAATCCCAGAAGGAATGAAATAACTTGACATTTTTTTTTGACATTTTTTTTCAGAAATCAACAGAAAAGTTCTTTCAATTTCCTTATTTTTGATGGAGTTATTTATTTCAATCCAATCAGTAATAGCATGCAAATTACAAAACGTTATATCTTTATTACCTTTAAACAGATCAATGACCTCCTTGTGGATGTTGTACTCAAATGCCGTAAATGCAGAATTGGGCCACTACACATTTTCACTAAAACACACGTTCATCCTCGTATTTCTGAATCGATACCAATATTAATCGGGTTTATTCATGATTTGTTATATTACAGATACAGATAATTCATTGATTGATTCTCAAAAACTCTATTCGAAACACAGTTTAATAGAAAATCAATATCCTTGAACATTTAACACAATCAAGCTCATTTAAAGATCTCCAGATAGCTTGCGATCCTCCACTTTGTATGTGATACATAGCATACTCCAAAACTTGATAAATACATATCCAAAGAAGAACAAATAAATTTACAAATGGTATTAAACTCCAATGTTTACAAAAAAGAGGGCATGTCGCCATCATTAACTGAAATACTGAAGCGAGCATGCGCGATTGTATATATACAAAATGCAGCCAAAAATTGACCTATCATTGTAGAAAATCCTTCCAAGTTATGGTCATTGATACAGTTAAGAAGTCATAATTGCTCAGAATGTGTCGCTGCATCTCTTCTTTTGATTAATGACGATATCTTTTAGATATATATTTCACTTCATAAAGATATTCACAGAAAATCGGCATCTGTACCCAATTAGGTTGTTTATCACACTTCGATATATATCAGCCGGACCCAAGTTGGTGTTTCGTCACTAGAGCCGGGCACTCAATTTTGGTAAAACGTTATATTTACAGGTATATATAATTTTGTCTCCTAAAGACAATATTAACATCATGAAACACATCCAAATAGCTTGATATAATATACATACACCAGTACACCCTAACATTATCTCTCTCTCTCTCTCAAACGTACACACACACACCCTCACACACACACATACGCACACACACACAAAACAAAATATTAAGTATTAAGATGGGGAAATATTTCAAACAATATTATATTTTCTGAATATTGTTAATAATTTTACTTCATTTTCCTTAATTGCTCTGGTTATATTAAATATCATTTTTGAAAAAAAAATGATTTAAATAAGATAAATAACCCACTAAGGTGTAAAGAAATTTAAAGTTTTCTGTCGATTGAAAAAGTTCTTGTAAAAGATATTTATTATCAAAATGTAGATATTTTAATCCTTTTGGAAATATTTTTGTTTCATGTGTTAAACGTCTCCTAAAAAATAAACTCCAATGATTTTTTTAAAATGACTGTAGAAAAGAGTAATTTTCTAGGCAGGGGATAATTTTCGTCTAATAACCCGGTCAAATTTCTTTTAAAACATAGATCCCCGGTTTGATGTGATATTTTACGTAGAAAAATGATTAGAATAAAAATGACTCTATATTAATTTGTAAATTTTCCTTCGGGCGTGCATTGATTTACGGATAACTGGGTGTTTTTTTGCTGCTTGCTCAGGTCTGAGGGTTGGCTGTACGAGTGCAACCGAGGTTCAAATCTTAAAAAACAAGCTAAACTTTGGGGGAGTCAAAACATGTTGTCCTCAGTTGTTACTAGTGTTATGGTGCTTTTAACCATAGTTTAATTATATTCACAAATGATGTGTTTTATTTTCATAATTATAAAAAAAAATTTAAAAGTCTAACAAGCCTTTCTTTACATATTTTATTTGATATCCATATGATGCATTCATTAATCATTTACAGCAAACTTTTAGCCCGAAAGCAACTTATTCAGATATATATGATTTTTTTTTTTCATTTTCTTTGAAAAAAATTTGTATAAAAAAAATTAAGAGCTGATATCGGTCTTACAATGCTGAAATCATTTTTAAAAGGGATGACTTAAAAATCTATAAGATGAAAAGTTGGTGAGGCATTCCACCTTAATCTTATCCTGCTTTGATTTCCCTAAAGCTGAACCAAATTAAATACTAAATTAAAAGGTCACTATTAGCATTAATGTACTGCATGTAAGTGAAGCTTTGTCCTTTTTTCGTTATTGATTTAACAAAATTAAATAGTTTGGTATTTTTCAAATAACATAAAATGAATAAGACCATGAAACAAACAAATCTCAGAAGGAATGAAATAACTTGACATTTTTTTTGACATTTTTTTTTCAGAAATCAACAGAAAAGTTCTTTCAATTTCCTTATTTTTGATGGAGTTATTTATTTCAATCCAATCAGTAATAGCATGCAAATTATAAAACGTTATATCTTTATTACCTTTAAACAGATCAATGACCTCCTTGTGGATGTTGTACTCAAATGCCGTAAATGCAGAATTGGGTCACTACACATTTTCACTAAAACACAAGTTCATCCTCGTATTTCTGAATCAAGACGCAATTTTATGGATTTTATTCATGGTTTGTTAAATTACAGATGCAGATTGATTTATTCTCAAAAACTCTATTCGAAACACAGTTTAATAGAAAATCAATATCCTTGAACATTTAACACAATCAAGCTCATTTAAAGATCTCCAGATAGCTTGCGATCCTCCACTTTGTATGTGATACATAGCATACTCCAAAACTTGATAAATACATATCCAAAGATGAACAAATAAATTCACAAATGGTACTAGACTCCAATGTTTACAAAACGTAAAGAATTTAGGGCACGTCGCCATTACTAACTGAAATACTGAACTGAGCATGCGCGATTATATATACGAAATGCAGCCAAAAATCGACCTATCCTTGCAGAAAATCGCTTCAGGTTATGTTCATTGATACAGTTAAGAGGTCATAATTGCTCAGAAGGTGTCCCTGCATCTCTTCTTTTGATTAATGACGATATCTTTTAGATATATATTTCATTTTATAAAGATATTCACAGAAAACTGGCGTCTGTACCCAATTAGGTTGTTTATCACACTTCGATATATACGCCAAAAAGGGGTAGTCCCTTACAAAAGATAATATTTCAATTAATTGACAACATACAAAGCTATCTCTTATATCAATGTACAGATAAGAGAACAAAGTTTCACATATATGAAGCATATCTATTGATTTTACTAGATGAAAGAGTTGTAACGATAATAAAAACAGCTCTGACTTAGGTCCGTTTAAAAAACAGCACCTAATTTTCAGCCGTTCCCAAGTTAGTGTATCTTCACTATAGAGCAACAGACAAGTTGGGGTAAAGATATATATATATATATATATATATATATATATATATATATATATATATATAACGAAATTTATTCTCAGAAGAGTTACCGAATCCCTCTATGTCTTTCTCTGTAATTGAACTTTGATTCTGAATAAATTTTTCTAGTTGCAGTACCCTGGTTAAATTCAGAACATCATTCCCTTTCTGAAAGAAGAGTAAAACATGTTATGAATCGTATTAAAGTTTTTAAATTATATATTATTCAGATTTCTTTCAGTTTTTATCAAATGTAGGAAGACGTAATGTTTAAAATTGCTCCTAAAATCGAAACAAATTAAATGAAGGTACATGTATCTTGGGGCGAATCAAAATTACACAGCATAATTTCTTTAACAGAACTATGACTGGGCACAAAACTATGACTGGGCGAATATAAAACGGGGCAAAATTGTTCGCAAGTGCAAAAGGGCGAAAATAACACAGAGCCAAAATAACCCTGTATACAGTAGTAGTGTAGATTGAAGTTTGTGCCGATAATGATCCGCGGTGAAAGGGATGGGAAAGATTATCTTTTAAGATAGATTTGACAATAAATGAGCATAAAAAATCTCGTAAATCTGAAAATTGACAAGATTGAATGTATGTTGTATAGCGTCTCAATCAAGAATTTCTTACTCATGTTGAGACCTCACCGTATGTCAGTGAAGGGTAAATAAGCAAGAAATTATGATAAAGCATGAAATAAAGTTTTTTTATGCGCCTGGATCGAAAGATCCGAGGCGTATATTGTTTTTGTCCTGTCTGTCTGTTTGTCTGTTTGTCTGCAAACTTTAACCTTTGCCATAACTTTTGAACCATGATCGATAGAGACTTCATATTTGGTATGCCTACTCCACTAGTAAAGCCCTTTCACATGACACCAAGGTCAATGACCTTGTGACCTTGACTGTGTCTTATGTGCTAAAAAAAGCTTTTTTGAACCTTCGCCATAACTTTTGAACCAAGGAAGATAGAGACTTCATATTTGGTATGCTTACTTCACTAATCAAGATCTTTCAAAAGACATCAAGATCAATGACCTTGTGACCTTCACTGAGACCTATATGCTAAAAATATGTTTGTTTTTTTTTTAATTTGTTGCCGCCGGGCGCATAGTGTTTCACAAACACATCTTGTTTTATTTAAAGACAAACCGGCATAGTTGTATTAGTTATTTAGAGATGAAACCTTAACCTTTGAAAAAAAAAATAGGGAGAAACCCTGGAGAAATACGTAAACTGAACTGGTATACACTTATCCTTGACAGCGCAATAGGTATGGGATAGGTTAAAATTGAGAACAGACAGGAAAAATGCAATATACCCCAGGGATATGTCGATCTGTGGGCATAAGATAAATACCTTTATCTTCTCGTACACTGCTTTTGTTTTACCTCATTAACACAGTTAGCAGTAGAATCACGTGACGTCCCTATAAGTATTATTTCATCTTTTCTCTGATTCTGTTCCATTATGGTGTAAACGTCTGCCGCGTCTCTTACAATCTTCGATACACCCACATTCTTATTTCCGTACAATATCCATGTGTCTGGATAAAAAGAAATTAAATGAACAGATGATGAAACCCTTAACAACAGTTATCATAATAGGAAGTACTTTGATTTACTAAGAAACTTTATCTTGATCTTTATTAAAGATCTTGGGTCCTAATATTTCTTTTGTTCAAACATTTGATTTAGACTTATGCAAGGAATATGTAAATGTACAAGAAATAGTTCTTATTTATCTCTGATAAATCTCATTAAATGAAATATATATTTATCTGCAATTTATAGTAAAAATACTTTGATTTTACTATATTTAATATTAGTAAACTATAGCTAAGTATAGTTCTTTTTGTAAAGGTTTACAAAGTAGCTTTTAAAAACAATATGTATAAACAAGAGAGAATCAAGCTTGTCAGCATTTATTCATTTTTCATAGATTCGACATCTGCTCATAGAAAATAAAATAAAATATTCTTTATTTTACAGACGAAAGTACGTTAATAAGCCTCTTTTCCAAAGAAGTCAAAATGTAAAATACAGTGTATTGATTTAATTTGTATTAATTTTGGACGACACAATTATCTTCGATAGACCGTTTTGAGAAAATGTCCCTCGCCCTGACAAAAGAGTGACTCTTCATAGTCAAAGCACGTAAGGGTTTATGAAACATACTACTCTGCAAAGAATTGCAAGTACCCCATACTCTAAAGAATGAGAATTGCATAAGAGTTTATTTACTGTTCAAACTTTAAGTACATACAATGCACTTGTTTCATGCACAAGTGCTATGACGTCGAGAATGAAAAAAAATTCCGCTACAGGGCTAGTACATTCAAGCATACTGTTAATCAGATTGACATATTTAGCTGAAAATTAGTTTTTAAGGAACAAAAAAATGTTATGGGTTCAAGAATAAAAGAAGTACGTGTGTCATTTCTGTTCAAAGTAATTGTTTAACTACATCCCTCCTTCAAGGTTGAACAAACTTAGGGACTCTGTATACTTAGATTATTAATAGAGCGTTAATGAGATCAGATTGCGTGTTTTTAAGCAATAGTCGGGGCTTTAAATGGTTTTAAAAATCATTGATTTGACAAACGAAGTCGTCAGAGTACAATCTGTGCATCTGAAGAATATTTAAACCTTCCGAAATAATACCGATTTATTCACGTATGATTTAAATCTTGCCAGATATATTTGTTTACTAAGAGTCAAATCTCAGAAGATGAAATAAAGTGATAGAATAACGGGTACACATACGCGTTATTTACAGTTTGCTTCTAAGGAAAATCAATATTATCTTCTTGCACATGCCTATTTCATGAGGTGCTTTTTAGAAAGAAAATATATAGGTAATTTATGATAGCAAGCGTTTTAAAGAGATAAGTAAAATAAAAAGTAAAATTTTGAATTAAATGCAACATCTTAAAAATGTCCGTGTAAAATGCCTTTTGGTGGTAAACAAAATACAAGGCGCTGAGAAAGAAGACAAAACTTTTTTGAATGTGAATCGACAAGATCATAAGCACTGGAATAAAATCATGAAATTATGTTAAAACACTTCTGTAGCCCAATCATGAAAAGTATTCTGGCTGGTTTCTATCCGATTACATAAAATTTTTGTTGTAAGTAACAGTTTCCATCATTGACAATCAAATTAATCGATCTTTTTATTGTTTATTTAAATATAATTTTTAATCAGAGTGAGTTAAGATTAATTCCTCCTGAAAAATTGTTACACAAGTTCATCATTATATATTTATCAACTAAATTCCTTCTACGTTACGTACCCTTTACTATGGTTTTATTCATGTATGAGAAAATATTTGTTATTCGAGCCAGGCGAAACGCTTCTCTTAATATATGGAAGTTGTAGCTCTTGATATTATATAAGGTAAATTTTTGTCCCCCGCTTGAAAAGTGGGGGATATTAATTTGGGTTTGTCCGTCCGTCCGTCCGTCCGTCCGTCTGTCCGTCCGTCCGTCCGTCTTTCTGTCTGTCTGTAACGCTTTCGTTTCCACACGATATCTCGAGAACCGTTTGAGCTTTTGCAATGAAATTTAGCATAGCAATTCCCTATGGACTAAAGAAGACCCCTATTGATTTTGAGGTCAAAAGGTCAGAGGTCAAGGTCATAAATAAGCAAATTCTGTCTGTTAAAACACTTTCGTTTCCACACGATATCTCTAGAGCCATTTGAGCTATTGCAATGAAATTTTACATAACAACTCCCTGTGGCCTAATGAAGACCCCTATTGATTTTGAGGTCAAAAGGTCAAAGTTCAAGGTCGTAAATTTATACATTCTGTCTGTGTGTAACACTATCATTTCCGGGCAATATTTCAAGAAGATTTTGAGCTTATGCAATGTAATTTTATACCAAAACTCCCTAGGACCTCTCTCACCCCTCTCAAAGTGCCCCGCCCCGTTTGTTTTATTAGTATTTATAGTATTACATGTCGCTATTTTTAGCGCAGGGGCATGAGGAGAGTTATTGCGTATAAAACAGGTTCTCGGCGGACTTTATGTTCTTATTACATCTTTTAGAACTGTTTAATAAAGGCTAAATAAATAAAACACCATGGATTGTGTAAAATTTTGAGAATACCGAACATGAAAATATGAATATATAACTTCAGTTCTGCATATACTTTACTGCCTGTAACATAGATTGGATACAGTGATTCCGTGGTCTAGAGGTTATGTCACTCGCTTCAAATGTTAGAGGACCCGGGATCGAATCTCGGCCGATCCTTTTTTTTTTTATTTTTTTTTTAAATACTTTTCTTTTTTTTTTTTTTTTTTTACTAAATGATAGTATTCAGCATGTGAAATGAAAAATTTATGAGGTTATAAAATCATCATTACAGTGTGATAAATATTCCATATAAAAAGAATCTTCTATACACATAATAAAGAATAAGCAATCAAATCTTTATATGCATATTGACATACATGTATTTTATTTGCTTCAGTATACATGTATACATTTAATAATTCTACAAATTCAGTCAGGGGGGATCCGATTTTTTCCCTAAGCGGGGGACACGAATTCTCTGAATTAGCTTGTATACGTAGTGTTCATTTCTTGTGATTTCGAATGTTTTTCAAAATGGGTTTCAACAAATAAGTACATGTACCGGAAAAGTCGATACTTCGGCTATTCGACATTAATAAATAAGTTCTATTATTTTGCTTAAATGCCTGTTAAAGTGTTTATTTTTTATTTTCTAATGAGTTCTGTATTATATTCAGTTCGTGAGGAATATATATTGATTAGGGGCGTGTCGTCTGGTCCTGATTAAAATATGAACATTTTGAATAATTTTCAAAGATTTTGATGTGATTGATTCATTAATAAAGTAATTATTAGTCTTTATTTATATTCATTTACGTTCTGTGTTTTAGCTACACAGCAAGTAAAGGGAAGAGAAAATGACAGAATATTGCTGAAACATTCATTAAATATAATTTAAATCAATTTAGCCACCAAGAACACAGGCAAGGTCTCAGGGTCTCTGTATTTTAAATTTGTTAACTAAGGCTGATTAATATTTTTGGATTTTTCCCCTGATTGACCTCCGCCACTGCCTTTATGCGTCTCTATCCATCGCCGTCTGAAACACTGACTTGGGCCAAGCAATAGCAACAAAGCTGTCCGAATCATCGATATTCGGAATGACATGTTCTAAATAGGAAAGGGGGGGCACTAACCTCCTCCGCTGCTTTTATGCGTCTCTATCAGCGCCGTTTGGAACACTGACTTGGGCCAAGCTCTAGGAACAAAGCTGTCCGAATCCCCAATGACGGATAAAACAAGTTTTGGTTTTTTAAACTTCTCTACTAAACGGGTCCATTCGTTTGACGGTTCACCCATTTTAATTTATGTTGCTCTTGTCCAATGAAATTAATCTGCAAAACAATATGAAACTAGTGCTAATTGTAACGGGAACCGTTACAGATGTTCCCCAAACGCTCCTCAACTTCATTTTGGTGCCTCATTTCCTCTAAGCTTCATAAAAAAAAACTAAACCCTATGCATCTGAAACTTAAACAACGTTTTTCCTAAAGAATACCAAGTATAAACAAAATTTTTACATTGCACGTGCGCACACTTGCATGCATATGCGGAATGACCATATCATTGTATCTACACTATTAGTTTATTATAATGTACTTAATATCTCAGCATTTAATCAAAAAGTATTCGAAAAATACGCTCAATCAAGTGCATTTGTAATTATACGTATTGCACGTGCATGCATGTGCATGATGACCACAGCCTCTTGTAGGGGTCCATTAAGACTATCTATGTTCTAAATCCCATCCTGTTTGGCTGAAAACAAAGGGAGATATAGGCATTTAAAGTTTTAGCCAATGAGATTGCAGCGCACGTGCATGCGCGTGATTTCATGATAATTATTTTATGTCATATCGTAGGATATTTTACTGCATGACTATGTTTTAAATTTCAAAGTATTTCGTCAAAAAACGAATAAGATATTGAGATTTTTGTTTCAGCCAATCAGAGCGAAGCGCACGTGCATGCGCGTGAGTTCATGATAATTTGACAATGTCCTCTTGTCTATAATACTAATATATTCTTATATTCTGAGTTTTAACACATTTAATCCGGAAATAGAAAAATTACGGCTTTATCAATTGTATTGGGCATTTTACATGTTGCACGTGCACGCTCTTGCAAGCACGTGCGCGCAAAATGACCTTGATTCCGCAAATCTACATAACATGTCTACTTACCCTAAAAAGATTTTACTTACATCAGATGAACAGTTTACAAGATCATTCGCGGACAAATAAGTACCCAGGAAGAAGAAAAATAATAATAAGAAACAGAGTAAAAACAATATGTTCCCAAACTTCGTTTGGGGAACATAATTAACAATTTTATCATAATTTGACTATAACTACTTGAGCACTATTATGCAACTCATAAAATCAAGCTAAAAATAATATTATGTTAAAAAATTAATAAGAACACATTTTAGTATATCTGATATGTGTATACTTTATTTCAGCGGGCATAAAGAAAATGATATTTTTTCTATAAATTCGATATATACTCACTACATCTTGTAAAAATTTAAGATCATTTGTTTATCAAGACCATTCTTAATCTGTGTACAATATTTACTAATAAAATCTTGATACATGTTTTCATGATGGAAAAGATTGTTGAGGTAGTATGTACATTTTCATCAGTTTACAGTTTTCAAGGAACATTCCCTTTTAAATTAATGAAACACAAGGTGGGTTGTCAAAATAGCAAATCAATGTAGGCGACATTATTTAAACATTGAAATTTATGGTTCTTGCTATTTCTTTTTACGTAATTGAATTTCACAGGTTACGATCGATTAATCTGGTTCAGATCGCCCCCCCCCCCCTCATAAACATACATCTAAATAAAAGTAATCTTCGTAAAAAATACAACTATCTGCAAACAAGCTCGGCACATAAAAGAATTATAAAGTTTTTTTTAAGTAAAAAAATAATAAAACTAAATATATGTTAATGACTTTTGCGTAATTTAATTCCAAAGTTCTTTACATTGATCAGTTTCATGATATAATTTTATTTCAAAATTTACTTATAATACTTACCTTCTAAAAAATAAAATTACGTCCTTAAATCAAACCGAAACGTTAAGGAAATTCTACTATTTTAAAGCAAGAAGAAATACAGAGCTCATAAAGAAGACCTCAATTAAATGCATACATGACAAATGCAAGGTGAAGGCATTTAAATATCCCCTGCACAAAAAGGAGTTGTTCGGACGATCAAACGTACTTTAAACTTAATGAGTATTAAAGCGACTGTTTTCTGAAAATGCCCGTTTTTTGTAAGACACGAAGTTCGCATTAATACTGAAGATAGTAAACAAAAGAGTTGACTGTATTTTTAAAAAGTGAACTGTCTTGAATTATTGCAATCTTTGATTATGGATGATAACACATACTTTTATGTTTACTATTCCGTCATTCAGTGCCAAAACAAACAAAGTTTTCAAAAGATTTCCAAAGATTTTTGCGGCTTCAATATTTTAATTTTAGTAAGATATATGACTTTTTAAATTAGTTTTATTTCAACCCAGTTTTGTGGTACCCCATAAAAAGTCTCGGAGAGATAAACTAATTGAGCAATTAACAATTTCGTTTAAAAATGCCTACTCTTGCCGATGAAAGGTATTTCTGAAGTAGACGTGCAAGAATTAATAACAGAAAAGCATTTATTATTTGTGTATTCATTGTTTTGCATTATCATTTGAGTTACGATATTTATACACGTAAACTAACGGTAAGACATTTTGCACTTTTTGCCAAAATTAACATAGATAATTGGAGGTTTCTCGGTTGAAATATAATATAGAATTTTTTTTGTATTACAAATGTATTTCAATTTTCAGAACAAAAATCTGGTAGAGAATTCATTCTTTGATTCCGGCGCAATGGACTTCCGAAATGGCAGAACAATTATTAACTTGTAGGGGCTAGTTCCCATTTGACCGAACTCAGCTGCAACCACATCCATTGATGTTACACTAACAGCACTAGCCTCCGTGCAGTGACTCGGCAGGCCTGGAGTCTTTTAAACGCCCTAACGCTTCCCCGTCACCTGGACTGCCTCCATACAACAGGCTGGAAACACCACAGTAGCAAATAAAAGCGAGCGCAGCGAGGCGGCGCGAAGCGCCGCGAGCTCAATAGACTAACGTGTACGAACGGAGGAAATTCGGGTTGAAATCTGCACATTGTTCCAAGAAATTTTTATCTCACCGCGTGAAAAAATTCCAAACTCCCAGTAATCCTTTGCGGTGCATAGCAACAAGGTGGCTAAAACATAGCAACAACTTACTTGAAAAAAATACAAACAACGATTTATTGCAATTTCCATGCCATAAAACCATCGTTGGCGTCCTAAGTCTACAGGACTTTTTATCTGACGTCATACTTTCGTCACTTTAACGGTTCGGGTATTTCCGATTTTGTCGGAAACTTCCGATAAGTTCGGAATCTCGATCCCGATGTTTGGGAAGTGATCTCTTTTTATTATTTTGTTTTCTTTCTTTTTCTTGAATGATAGGCAGTTCATGTGTAGGTTTATGATAGTACATAACTGCGCTCGCCCCAACGGTCATACCGTAAAACATATTAATGCAGTAATTTCATCTTCTCCGATTGTAAATGTTACATCTTCCTCCCACCTTATCGATCTATCATCTCGTACCTCGACACAACAGGAACATAGATATAAATCAAATGTCATCAGACTTTCACCCTACCATCCGGCTGACCCGGCCAGCCAGTGGTGGTCACTTTTCATGGACATGGTTATATCTTAATATGTCAAAATCGGCGGCATTGACGGCGTTTCCTTTTTACATGGGAATCATTCCGAAACAATGGTATTTTGAATTTATTATTTCGGTACGAATATAAGACACATCTTTCAAATAATGAATTCTCGGTCTTCAAAGACCACAAACCGTTACAATATTTGATGTTTCACCTAAGGTTTCACGAAAGGTTAACATGCCAAAAAATTATATTTACAATATTTCCAAAACTATGTTGTTTGTAAAATTGAAACTTTTTTAGTTTGTAAATATGTCATTGATAAACAAATACAAAGTATCACTCGATAAAAAAAAACCTCATAAATAAGAATATTTGTCGAGAAAATTTATTTTTAAAAAAATCCATTTTACATGGACTATTTACAGAATACACCAAAGTACATCCGAACTTCAAGTGAAATTATTCATAGCAGAATCAGAATATGTTTATCAATGCAGGGCAAGTAGGACTTCGATAGCCTCTGGAAAGTATAAGTTGTTTTCCCTGTTTATTTTGTCCACATGTTAAGACTTGAAACCGTTCACTTCAGTTCTTTATTTCGTGGGACGTTCATCCCATAAGCATCATAAGTACAACATTGTATTTTTCAATTACATACGTAGTACAATAACATGTTATACACTAACCAACTAGTGATACATACATTTTATTATTTAGCTAATTGATTTAAACATTCCATTCGTAATCTATTAGCATGATATATATTCCCCTAACTGATTTACATCTTTGGTATTTGTACTACAGAATAATTGAATTACCTTGAAGACAATTAGTCTTCGGGAGTAGTAATGTGTGATGAACTTGTTTCTTAAATCGTGAAAAACTGGACATATGAATAAAAAATGAAATTCATCTTCAATATCATTTAAATTACACAGATCACATTTCCTATCACTCCTTATTAAGTTCTTGTATCTTCCAGTTTCAATCTTTAAATTATGTGCTGAAAGTCTGAGACATGAAATTACTTTTCTATATTTTACTTGGATGGGGTTCTTTAAATAAACTTGTAAACAAATAATCAACTAAATGCTTATGTAACATACATTTTGGTGACTTACATATATCAGATACAGCCTTCTGTTTAAAAACATCACACATTTTATCGTATGTTATGTCTAATAAAATACTACCTTCTTGAAACCTAGAGTGTACATTTCATTTTTTATACTCATTATTCAGGGATCTTTATTCTCTACCATATCTTGATAACATGCACTTAAAATACAGTGATTACTTTTTCTTGATTTTAGCCAATATTTTTATATTCTGCGCTTTCTGTAGATATTTAGTGGTATTCTACCTAACTCATAATAAACAGCACTATTACTATTATTTTTTCTTACACCAAGTATTCTCTTACTAAAATTAATATGTACTCTTTCAACATCTGGACCTTTATGAAAACCCCAAATTTCAGCTCCACAACATAACACACTTTTAACATAAGTGTCACTATCAAGAACATTGATCTGAGTCTCAACATTAAAATTTAAATTTTTCATCTTATCTTACTTTAAATACTAAACAATGCCTTGTTACCTTGTGTTGCAGTGTTTCTGTGTGGATAAGAATTTACCATTATAGTTGAATAATAATCCTAAATAATTGAATTGATTCACAACTTCCACATTGTTAACATTAAATGTCCATTTTTCTTCACCTCTTACATACTCTCCATTTCTAAAAACTACAATTTTCGTTTTTTGTACATTTACAGTTAAATTCCATTCTTCTGTATAACTATAAAGAGTGTTTAACATTTCTTGTAAAGTTTCAACTGTTTCCGCTAATAATTTGATTTTAGTTGTAACACGTCATTTGATTGGGTAAAAGATTTAATCCATTTCGTATAACATAACTTCCCTACGTCACAATGAGTTACGTCAAAAACGTATTACTCCGCTTGACGTTACTTTTAAAATAATGCTGAATTTGGAGCCTTTTTCCGGAGGAAAAATTGTATCATTATCTACAATGAAATTAAATTATAAGGAATGAAGCTTATTTCAACTTATGTTATCCGATATAACAAAACTTGGGGCAGTTTACGCTTTCTTATAAACCGCTTCGCGGCCCAAATAATTATTTGGGTCATGTAATTCGCCCTTTTTGAAAATTCGTACAATACATCCCCTTTGACCAGCTATCTGGATACATACCAGAATCAAAAATACTGTTATAAAATTTACATAGAATAGGAATCATAACTTCTTTACATTTAATAAAAAAATTCATTAATTACACCAGTCGCCCGCGTGGCGCAGTGGTTAGAGCGTCTGCTCTAGAGTCGCGAAGTAAGGAGTCATTCCTTCGAATCCTACTGCGGGACGTGGAGACCGGTCCTTCGGATGAGACCGTATAAACCGAGGCCCCGTGTCGCATTAGGTGCTGGCACGAAAAAGATCCCTCCATGCTCAATGGCCCTGAGTGCCGAGTATAGGACAAAATTTGCAGCTCTCCACCGGCAAATGGTGACGTCTCCATATGAGTGAAAAATTCTCGAAAGGAACGTTTAACAATATAAAATCAATCAATCAATCATTAATTACACCATCATCTGCGTTACTCTTTTACATTTAAGTTTCAAATTTGCTTTCTCGACTTCTAATTCAGATATACACGTATCTAATTCCTCATAACACGAAGCTGGGTAGTGTTCAACACTGTCGTCAACAACGTTAGATTCGTTCTTGTTCTCAAAAACACTCCTAAAATGCTCCAAAAATTGATCTGCGTTTATATCATTATCTAGTTTTTTTCCGAAGGTACTTGTGGACAGGAACCCCCCCCCCCCCCCACTATACACCCCTGGTCAAAATATTTTTTTTCTTTATTTGTCATGAATTATGTTTCTAGTTCTTATTTACAACGTATTCCATATGAAAAATCCAAAAAATAACAGATATAACGATTTACTAAAAAAGTCATACCCTGGTATTATAAAAATAGAGAGGGTAAGTCACTTCGGTTTGTTAATTCGGACCCCTCTTGATTATCGGGCCTAAAATATCATATACCTACTACATGTCACCATAATGTGTCATGATATCTTGTTTCGGTCGATATTCTTGTCATTTAATTGCCCAGACATTCCCCAATTATCCGAGTATTCAATGTCAAACGTGAAAAATTTAGATATTACGGAAGTGATCCATAAACGACATCTAGCGGGTAACTTTCGAGTTCCGAGTGTCATAGAATTAAGGGAAAAGCCAGAGGACTACGAAAAAGTTCGGGAAAATTTTGATAAAAGAAGTCGAAATCGATTCATTAGAATTCAAATTTTGCTGCAGATTTTCAAGATGAGTTAGGGTCG